GAGAGAGTGAGAGAGGGGAGAGTCTTAAGAAGACTCTGTGCAGAGTGTGGAGCCCAATGCAGGGCTCGAACTCACAACCCTGAGATCACAACCTGAACTGAAACCATGAGTTGGACACTATACCCAGCCACCCCTCTGGTTTGTATTTTTATTTTCTTAAGAGTATATTTTGAAAAGTAGCAGTTTTGAAGTTCTCTATGTTGATAAATTCCAATATATCATTTTTTTTTCTTTTTTTTATTGTGTTCTTGTGGTCTAACCAAAGAAAACTTTGTCTATACAGGAGCACAAAGATTTTCCTCCTCTGTTATTTTCTAAAAATTTTACATTTTGAGATTTTATTTTTAGGTATATGACCCATTCTGAGTTCAAAGATCAAAGTTTTTGTTTTGCTTTTGGTATATGGATGTCCAATTGTTCTAGGATCATTGGTTGAAAAATGGTCATTTCAACTATGATTTGCCTTTTCCCCTTTGTTAAAATTCCATTGATCCTATACATTGGGTCTACTTCTGGACTCTGCTCTGTCCCTTTGATCTATGTATTAGTAATTTTACCAACACCACACTGCTTTGAATACTGTAGGTATAATAAGTCTTAAAATTGGGTAGTTCAAGTACTCCAAAAATTTCTGAAAAATTCGATTCTATGCTATGTTTTTAAATTTAAAAGTAAATAATTTTATTTATTTAATATATAGAAATGTTATTAGTTTTCTACATTCATTTTATATCCTGCAATCATGCTAAACTCACTTTTTAGTTCCAGTAGTTTTTTCTGTAAATTCTTTGGTATTTTCTAAATAGATAATTATATTGTCTGAAAATAGAGATTGTTTTATTTCTTTCTTTTCCATTAGCATGAATTAATTTCTTTTTCTTAGCTCAGTTCACCAACTAGAACCTAGAGTGTGATATTCATAAAAGTGGTAAAAATGGGGAAACATATCTTGTTCTTTAACAGACAAGCATTGAGTTTTCCACCATTTCCACCGTTAAAGAAAAAGGCATCTTTTTCTATAGATGCTGTCTCTCATGTTGAGCAAGTTTCCTTTTGTTCCTAATTTGCTATGAGTTTTTGTCACGAATGGATACTGAATTTTGATATAGTCATTTTCTGTATCTTCTGGAAGGATCAAATGATTTTTCTTCTTTAGACTGGTGATGTGATAATTTATACCTATTAATTTTCAAATACTGAACAATCATCACATTCCTAGGATAAACTTCACTTTGTCATGAGAGATACTCACACACACACATACATATATTATATTTACATATATTTCATTTGTGAAAATTAAATTCTTATCCGGGAAGATTTACCACAGGGTAGCCTGTTCTGTTCCACCTTTAAATCAGCAGCTGGAACAAAACAATAGAGTTCAAGGTCACCAGTATGCTAATGACAAGTAGTCAGATTTATAACAACACTAAGGAGATGGATACAGATTATGTAAAATATTAATTACTAGGGTCAAAACATACAAGTATAAGAATATATACATATATACTTTTTTTTTTTTTTAAGAAAAGAAACAACTTTGGGGTCATTCCTTGAATGGTAAACCTAATATACAAAAATATTTATGGGGCACCTGGGTGGCTCAGTCGTTAAGCTGCTGCCTTCTGCTCAGGTCATAATCCCAGGGTCCTGAGATAGAGTCCCGGCATCAGGCTCCCTGCTCAGCAGGAAGCATGCTTGTCCCTTTCTCACTCCCCTGCCTGTGCCCTCGCTTGTTGTGTCTCTCTCTGTCAAATAAATAAATAAAATCTTTTTAAAAAAATTTATAAACTCCAACTTAAGGAAAAATAAACCAACAAGTCTAATGGAAGGCTTTGATAGTTTTATACTGCATTAAAGTATGAAAAAATGAAATATGAAAACTGACAATCTTGCTATGAGGCCCTCAAAATATGTCTCTCTTCCATTCAGAGGATAATCTATAAATATACTTGTATTTTTATACATATACACACTAAGAATTTAAAACCTTCTTCTGTTTGGAAAACTTCAAATGTTTTTAGAATTATGAAATTTTCTATATTTTATCAATTAACACATAATAAAACAATCATTAAGAGTTAAGTCACATAGAAGTTTATATAAATTTTATAAAATGTAATAAAATTTAAAATTTGGGCACTATTCAAAGGAGAATAACCAAGAGGTTAAACAGAAATAATGTCAAAAAGGAAGTAGGAGCATTGGTAATGTTTTCCAACACTAAATGACCTTTAGTCTGAAAGTCGATTATATTTGTTCTAAGAATTAAAAATCAGAGTCTATAAATAGGCAAGTGTTCTCTTTAAAAGTAGTGAATTCCTCCATCACTAGGGTTGTTTATGCCTAGAATGTATGGCCCCTTCCCAAGGATGATGTAGACAAGATTCAAGCATAGAGGTGAGAATCTGGAGGGAGAGAATAAAACTATCACGTAAATGACCCACAGGCTGTATTTCATCTCTTCCATCTGGAGGCTATAGTTCCTGAAACAGTAAATAAATAAAATTGTAACAGTCATGCTCTGTTCTTTTGATTTCCTTGGCAACCATGAGCACAGCATACTCTCAAAGGTTACAACTGTTGGTGTATTCTCCAGTGGGAACATCAGGGCTACCTTGAGGACTCTTCTGGATCAAAATGCAAATGCAAATTTGTTCCTGCATTTTATAATAGTTCGGATTGCTTAGATTGTTTAGAGGGCGACTTAGAAAGAGGATCTAGGTCAAAGGAACCAAAGGAAACAGGATGCTCCCCCAATTACACTGTGCAGTGGCATCCTGGCTAGCCCATACCTGAGCCCCACAAAAAATCAGAGCCCAGAATCAGCTCAACAATCCCCTCTTCCTTCTCTTCCTGTCAGACCAGAGCTTATGTTGAAACCAAAGTGGTTTAATAGACTGAAGCCAGCTGGAGAGTGAGTCATATATGTGAGTCACTGGTCTATGAGAATTTAGGCTATGAAAAACAAAAAAATATGACATGTCCACTAGCAGACTTCCTTTCCGTAGATGGTCTTGGAGCCACACAGAGAACAACTCCAGGTCACACCTCTCAGGAACTAGCACTCTTCAAAGTCCCCCCATCTTAGGTCTCCGTCCTGGTCTATTGCTCTCCTACCACTGCCAGCATAAGTCTAGGCTACCCACCCCCAATGAACTTTCCTTGGCCTGTTTACGTAATGCTTAGGGCCAGAAGTGTTTGGTTTTATAATTTGTATTCCCTCTTAACATTGAAATCTTTAATAAGAGTTGTCTCAGGCCTTAGAGAAATGTAAAAGTGTAATAAAACTTGTTGGTAACCCCAGTTTCCTTGACTCTGGCTAGTGTATACAAACAGAGAATGTGAGAGGAGGGAGCAGGAGAGTGTTCTGTTGTGATTTACTTTACAAAGGATTTTTCCTCTTGGTTAATAGGAAAATAGATACTCTGTTAATCTTCAGACTAGCTATAGGCTTCATGTTTAATGAGGAAAAGGATATTCAATGGTTTTTCAAAGTACAGCACAGCTGGAATAAAATAACCCAAGTATTAACAATTTGCATGCTCTATATACAATTGGTGATATTTTTACTGAGTATGTAAACAATGCACTTAAAGCATAAGGTTTGAAATAAAGATAGACACATTCACTGCTTTCTAAGTATTTTTTTTAAATTTTATTTATTTGACAGAGAGAGATCACAAGTAGACAGAGAGGCAGGCAGAGAGAGAGGGAGAAGCAGTCTCCCTGCCGAGCAGAGAGCCCGATGCGGGGCTCGATCCCAGGACCCCGAGATCATGACCCGAGCTGAAGGCAGAGGCTTAACCCACTGAGCCACCCAGGTGCCCCTGCATAAGCCTCTTAATAAGACAGAAATCCTATCTGAACTGTCTTCGTTTCAGCAAAGACATCACATCACTCTGCAGCCCTATTTCAGAGGCTGCCACACAATTCCTTTACCTTTTCTCTCTTCTCTATCTGAAGAATGGAAAACTTCAAATGTGACTTGGTCTATCTTAAAATCAAACTTAATTGAGTAAACACCATTGTAAGAGATGCTGTATAAGTAACATTTTACACCCTGCTTTTAAGGAAACCATACTACTTAGGAGAAGAAGAAAATAAGCAAATTATTACTACCAGTTGATAAGTGACCATGTAAGGGAGGGTTTATGCAGCTGGCTCTGAAGGGTCAAGTAAAATTTCACAGAGGAGTTATGCCCAAGTTGAATTTTGAATGACAAATGGAAATTCCCCCCAATTGAAAATGAAAGACATTTCAGAGGGAGAGATTATAGCTTTGTTCAGGAATCTACAAGTAGCTCAACAGGGCTGTCAGATAAATAAAGCACTGCTTGAGGGGATGGGATGGAGAACTGCTGGAGAGAAAACTGAACAGATGGATGAGGGAGAAATGAGGAAGGACTAATACGCAATGCTAAGAAGCTTGGACTTCACTCTGTACAGAATTGGAGGCCTTCATTGGATTTTAATCAGAGGAACAGTTTGATCAGATTTTATTTTAAAAAGAAAGTTACATGGAGGCTAGACTAAATTGAGACAAGACTAGAGTGGAGGCTGGGAGTCATTCAAGATACTACTGAAGACTCGGGTAAAAAACAATTTGGGTTTGAATTAAAGTGGGAAGTGGATATGTGGGGGTGCACTAAAGAGATAATTTGAGGGTGGAAGTTATTAGATCAATGACTGGAAATTGTGGCAGAGGGCGAGAGAGCTCAGGGGAGTAGGAAACGTGTGAGAGAAGGAGTCAAGGATAATTTCAAAATTTTAGAGATCTCCTATTTGGATGACCCCCCCCCCCCGAAACATTGTACCTGACATTCCTGCTGCTCTAACTCTGGTCCAGGAAATTACTGGAAGCTATGGCATCAACAAGGAGTATACCAGAAATGAAAATCACTGGGCTCCTCCACAGAACATCTAGTGGCAACTGGCTCTGAAGGGTCAAGTAAAATTTCACAGAGGAGTTATGCCCAATTTTTTAATTTTTTAATCCTTTTATTATTCTTTTTTAACAAACGGCCCCAGGGATAGGGGACCAGAGGAGGGGGGTGGAGGGGAAGTAGGTCCCAGCCCCACAACCCCTCCCCCCCCACCCCTTTCCCCCTTATATATTTATAATCTATATACAAGCCCCAGGGGGTAGGGGGCAAGGGGAACTCCCTCAGCGGGGTGGGGGCAACCCAGGCTCCTTGTCTCCTCGGGACCCAGGCTCCTCTGCCCGTCGGGAAGGCCCCTCTCGGGAAGGGGGCCCCGCCTGCTCCCCGGGCTTCGGCATCCAGCGCAGGGCATCTGGTGGGGAGGTCTGCTGGTAGAGGTCGATGCGCTGGGTGCGGAAGACACCGCTGTAAGTAGAACGCGGGGCCTTGATACGGGAATTCAGGCCAGAGAAAGACCTTCCAGCTGGGGGAGTACGAGACGACCCGGGTCCCCCAAGGTTGCTGCTCAGTTTCCGATAATCCTGGAACGGCTTTAGTTCCACTGGGTGCAGCGCTGCTCGCCCCAAGCTAGGGGGGAAAGGTCTGGCAGGTGAAGGCAGCACCCGAGTAGCAGGAGCAGGTGGGGGCTGCACAGCCAGGCTGGGGGGCTGCAGAGCAGGGCCCACAGGTAACAGAGAAAGGGGTGGTGGCGCAGGAGGTGGCGCTGGTGGCAGGGAGCCAAAGTTCACCACAGGCAACTGTGAGTCCACCATGGGTAGAAGCATCTGCTGGGCAGGGGAGGGGAGGAAGCCACTTTGGCCACCTGAGGGGAGGAAGCCACTTTGGCCACCACGTTGCAGAGGAGTAGAATAAAAATCTGAGGGGGATGGCAGATCCTGGCGCACCTGAAGCAAGGGTGGATCGGGCAATGGGCTGGGGCAGAAAGCTGGAGAGTAAAGGAAGGAAGGTGGCAACGTCTAGGAATCTTGCCCTCTGGTTGATTCTCACACATGCTGGGAGTCTGAGAAACACTGTTGCCTGTGATTAAAACCAAGATCCTGCACATCCCTCCCAAGAAAAATCCTCCTTCCTCTCAGCTGTCTCTGACATCTCCATTTTCATGGCACTCCTGCCTGAAGGCTAAGTGAAAGCAGCCTGTAAGCGTGGTATCAGAATTTGGAAGTGAGCAACCTTTTCCCAGTACTAACTGTGAGGCTCATTCCATATGGCTGTGGCAACGTGATGACAGTGCCAAGGCGCCTCCCCATCCGCTTGGTGTCACTCCAATATGGTATGTGCCTACTTGTGAGTGCATCAGACAGAAGCACTCACAAAGAATGGACACTGCAGTACTTGAACTTATGTCTATTTGCTCTCCACGGTTCTCATTTCGATATTACCAATGACGGCAGTATCCTACTGTGACACCCTTTATTAAAAAGGCCTCCATTGTAAATAGTGCAGGAAAGAGAAGCTGAACTTACAAGGCAATCCTGAAAGGATGGAAAACCTTGTTCCTAATTAGGCTCTTGAGTTTGAAAAACTCTATTCTTTTCATGAGAGGAAATACTTCAGACTGAGCATCAGGAGACAGAGATGGTATATAAGAATTGAGAATAGGAGATTGACAGACTAAAGGGAACGTCCGATTTGTGGCATTTCTGAATAGCTGTTTTCAGCGTTCTGCCTCAGATTGTTTCACACTATCTACTATTCTTACCCTCTTTCTCTCTTCCACAATTGCAGCGTTTCAAGTTGTAACTTTCTCAATTCATCTCCTTCTTCTCAATTTATTAATCTCTCTCTGTTTTGAATGAGAAATACTTCTAAAGGAGCACACTACTTTCTCTTCTTTCAAAGACACATCCCAGTGAAATGAAAATGAATATACCTGCCGAAAGAAAGGAAACAAGGGGAGAAAGCAAGGAAGACCACACTTAGAAAAAAAGATAATGGAAGACCCCTGCTGGGCTCTTACACAAACTAGTAGAAGCCGCAGTCCTGGGAATGCAACAGACAATACAGGCGGAGCAATAACCTCCACTTACGATCTTTAAAAGAAGAAAAAAAAATCATACCCTTTCTGCTCCCAGGAGGGAACAACAGGACCACCTAGGACGAATCAGAAGAGATGGGGCTCCCCCTTTCTTTGAACAGAAAAAAAAAAAAAAAGAGAGAGAGAGAGAATGCAAAAAATCTTGCAAATTATGTAAATCTAATATACTGAAACTGTTCCTATAAGGATATTTTGGAAACTCTCCATTCAAAGGAGTGCTGCCTCGGTCACATTTGGTCCTGGAAGGATAAACTTATCCCAGAGATGCTGCCCCTGACTGATGCAGCTTGGGATACCTTCTTTAATGACTGTCTTCAGGATGCTATGATCTTCTCTCTTCCTCTGCAGTATTTTGGCATGGGGTGTGGTAAGGATATTTACTGTGTTTGTTTTACTCTTAAATAAATAAGCCATTACAGTGATGTGCAATACAAAGCCCACGGCTGAATTCTGAGAACCTGCTCTGAGGGGGTCTCTTCTAGAACCAATTGGTAACAGTCCAGCACTCATGTGATCAGACGCAGTAAGTCACCTCAACTCACCAATCACCACTGAGACCTTCTTTTTGTCTTTCCATCCCATCTCCAGAAGTTTCTTTGTGGGATATACAGTTCCTGCCACACACCACCAACCTTCCTTCTTTCACAATGTCACAGAGTGCTGGCTCATCAGTCCCCCCCGCTCCCCCCAGTTAGATCCAACCTAGGTTTTGAACAAGAAACAGGCAGGATATTTCTACCTATTTTCAAGTAAATAGGCCCAGGGTGTTTGATAGTTTGTATTTCTGGTTTACTATTCTGTTTTTAATCCATCTCTGTTGCTCTTGCAGTTAATGGAAATCCTAAATTTTAGTGGTAGTGTATTTTTAGCCTTGTATGTAATTACTTCAGGTAGATAAAAGCACTGTGCATTCAGATTTTTTAAATTTCCTTATACTTACATGTATATAGACTTTTCTTTTATTTTTACAGAGTAGGCCATATGAAATATTGTTCTACCTCCTCCTTGAAGCTAAGCAAAATAGGTAGGAGTAATAAAAGTGCTTTTTAAAAACTTTGCTTTTGTTTAATCCTCATTTGGTTGTGACAACAAGCTCCCTAAAGGCTACAATTTTTGTGTAGGCTGGGGACAGCCCTAGAGGATTCCTTAGAAGTGCAGGGACGGGGCATCACCTATGCTTCTGCTCAGTCCCACTAGAAAAAGAAACACTTGGCTGCCTCCTCCACTGGTGAGGAGCATGCAGACTTGATCTCACCACCCTGAGAAAAAAAACCAAGACTTCCCTGAGTCTAAGTAGAGTTGAGACGGGTAATTTGGCTGTTATTCTGGTAAGAAAATCAGGACACGCTCAGAAGTCAGACCATATGGACAAGGATATGGAAAAATTTAACAACAGGCCGTGTTCAAAGAAACACGAGATGGTGTTGAAGTGTGGTGTGTGAATGACAGGGACATGTGTACCAAATACAGCGCACAGATTCAAAGTGCAGGTACAAACTGCCCAAGATCAGGGGTTTCTGAAAGTATCAGAAGTGCCTGGACTGATAGATAAAAGTGTAGATTTCTAGGCTTTGCCCCCAACTAATAAAATCACAAATGTCCTGATAACATCCTTTCTTAAGAGCTATCCTTAAAGATTCTGAAGTAGACTAAATCTGAAAAACCAGTATACACTTCATCTCAGGGTCTTAAAAGGCTAAATGAATCAATAAACTGTTTTTCAGGTTAATTTATAAATTAGATAAGTATTATGTTAACTTTATACAATATATTTTCTGGGTAGTTAGAGCACATATCAGACTACAGAGAGGCTATAAAATAAAAAAAATAAATATGTTAATTTCTCTTAAAGACACATTCCTAGAACTGTTTATAAACTGAAAATTCTGATTATTTTTTTCTAGTTGCTTTATTTCAAATGAATAGATTACTGGAATTCAGCATCTATTAAAATAAAGTCAGGGGCGCCGGGGTGGCTCAGTGGGTTAAGCCTCTGCCTTCTGCTCAGGTCATGATCCCCGGGTCCTGGGATCAAGCCCCATACTGGGCTCTCTGCTCAGCAGGGAGCCTGCTTCCCTTCTCTCTCTCTCTCTCTGCCTGTCTCTCTGCCTACTTGTGATCTCTGTCAAATAAATAAATGAAATCTTTAAAAAAATAAAATAAAATAAAATAAAATAAAGTCAATTTCCTGATCATTATCAATTAGACTTGTATGCTTCAGGTTAAAAAACTTTTAGTGTTTCCCAGGCCATATCCCTAAGTTTAGTCAATTTTTTTTTTTAAAGATTTTATTTATCCATTTGACAGACAGAGATCACAAGTAGGCAGAGAGGCAGGCAGAGAGAAAGGGGGGTAAGCAGGCTCCCTGCCGAGCAGAGAGCCCGACGCGGGGCTCGATCCCAGAACCCCGGGACCATGACCCGAGCCGAAGGCAGAGGCCTTAACCCACTGAGCCACCCAGGCGCCCCTAGTCAATTTTTAATATAAAATTCCTCTCTAATAGATATTGATTTTACCATGCCATTATTTAGGCCAGACCATTATTATTACATTATACCTGAAAAGCTTCTTAGCTGCTTATCGAGTCTCTAAAATTCCACAACATTTTCATCATTCCAACTAATTTGTACAAAGACCTACATTATACCCAATCTATTAAAGCAAGAAACCAATATGGAGTGTAACAACTGGAATGAAAGAAGAAAAAGTGTGCTTATTTGTAGATGCTATGATTGTACACCTAGAAAACTCATCAGGCATCACTGAAAAGCTATTACAACTAATAATTAAGGTCAGTAAGTTACCCAATAGCAAAGTAAATATATAAAAATCAATAGCTTTCCTTTAGAACAGGAAAAGCAACTTAGAAGAGATAATGAAAACATCATTCACAAAGTCATCATTTTTGCGGTGCAGGAACAGTGCTAGGATCCCTGCAGAAGGCGAGCTATTCCCCAATCCAGTGAGAAAGTATAAGGCAACCGTACTGGAATCACACCTCTGCATCCAAATTCCAGCTGCTGCTTAGAGCTGTGTGACTTTAAGGAAATTAAATTAGCCTATCCCAGGAGCCTGGGTGGCTCAGGACATTAAGTGTCTGTTGATTTCCACACAGGTCTTGATCTCAGGGTTGTGGGATCAGGATCTGTGCTCAGCAGGGAGTCTGCTTGACATCCTTTCTTTCTGCCCCCCCGCCCCGCCTTGTGCTCTGTCTCTCTCAGATAAATAAATCTTTAAAAGAATAATAAATAAATAAGCCTACGCTTGTTTCCTCATTTCCAAAGTGGCATATTTTAAAAAATACTTCACTGAGATGTTGTGAAGACTACATGGGTTTTATATGGATTAATATAGGCTAAGACTCCTATACACAAGTATACAGTGGGCTATGATTATATATGGGACTATATGGGTAATACACTTATAACACTATTTGGCACAAATGGGCAACACTGACTAAATCTTCACTGTGATTATGTGGCAAATAATTTTCTGAAACAACATTAGTCTTATGCAAGCAACTATTATACAGTGTAACTTCAGAAATAAACAGGATTGAATCTGACGATTTAAGACTCCTTCCAATCTTGAAATTCTATGGTTCACTGAAATTGTAACTTGGAATTTATATTTCTCATCCCCTCTATGGTTTTGGTTAATTTGAAGACTGGAAGCTTAGTATTTATGTATTCATGTTGTCTCTGGGGACAGGGCACTTTTGGCTAAAAAATGTGCAAAATAGCAGTCTACTTTTTTTTCTCTTATAAAATGTATTGAGAATTTTGAAGGGCTTGGCTGACAGAGATGAGGAAGAGAGATAAGGAACTATGCTGTGACAGGCTTTGCTGAGCCAGCGTGGCTTAAAGGGCATTTAGAAAGGCACTGTGTTCTAATGCGAAGAATGTGGGCTCTGGTGACAAAGGGTAAGATTATAATCTAAACTCCTACATTTCCCATCTGGGGCAATTTAGTGGACCTCACTTAAATCCTTAGCCTCAGTTTCATCATTTCTAAAATAAAAATCAAATAGGAATCTGATTCCCAAGACCATTGTGAGAATAAAATTAGGAGCTTGGCAAAAACAAAGTGCCCTGTGGATATCAAGAGTCAGGGGTTCCTTAACACATGTAAATTTCTCTCCGTTTTCTAAAATCCAAAGACTCCACAGGTATCATCATATCTGAAATTATACCATTACAGATTCTTTTGTGGTAGAGAAAGCAATCTCTTCCAGGCATCTTCAGCTGTTATGTCTCTTTCCCCTTGAAAAAGAGAAAACCCATGTTCCATGTGAATTCTGATCTCTTGTAGTGAGAAAGGAATATAAGTGGCTTAAATCTGAAATGAAGGAGACAAAATGTCTCCTGAGCCAATTCCATGATTTGCCCAGCAACAGAGACCCATAAACATGACTTTAAAAATTTATATAGTTTATCCAGAAATGCATTTGAGTCCCAAAATATATATAGTAACCTCTCTCCCCAAATTACACTTCAATGAAATTCTTCCAGGTGGGGATTTATATTTCTATAGCCTTTCCTCAACTGTGAGAACAACCAAAAATCAAGATGGTAATTTATCTAATTGTCAAGTCAGTATTTTAGGTGTTAAACACTTAATGAAGGATCAGGTATAAAAAAAGGTCTTTTTGCATTTTACTACAACGAAACAAAATAAATGTATATATAACTAGTTCTCTCAATGTATACTTTAAAGCAGCTTAATAAACTTCCCTCCAGTACATTTCAGCCTCTCATTGAAATTGGTACGAGAGAGGGATCCTGAAATCTACCCAAGGACAAGGGAGGAACATTAAAAATAAATATAACCATTGTATTATTGCTATTTCAATAGCAATTATGTGTTATAAATACATAAAATAGCAATGCTTTGTTTTTTATTTAATGTGTCCTTTATATTTAAATAAACTTTTAAAGTTTGTGTTTGTTAGGATTCTTTGGTTGCAAGTGACAGAGACTAAATCTAACTGACCAAAGTGGAAAAGTGTGAGATCGAAAGAGAGACTGAAAAGAGTGCCCTGAGAATTTGAGGTATCTCACAGAATCAAAGGGAAGGATGAAAAACATTCCTCAACCAAGCAGTAATGGGGGTGGGGGGGCGTAGTAGGAAATAATGAAATTTTCCTACTATGGAATATATGTTTGGATCAAATGGTTTAGGACTTACTTTTTTTTGTTAAGATTTTATTTATTTACTTGACAGAGAGAGTGAGATAGAGAGTACAAGCAGGGGGGAGTGGTAGAAGGAGAGAGAGAAACACACTCCCTGCTGAGGAAGGAGCCCAATGTGGGGCTCTAGACCCCGGGACCACGACTGAGCTGAAGACAGACACTTAACCAACTGAGCCACCCAGGCACTCCTTAGGACTTAACTTTTCTGGGAGCTATACTAGCTAACCAGAGCTTAGAACACATGTACATCATTCAACGGGGAAAAAGTGGCATCTTGATTGATGGTTCTAGTAAGACCGTAGAATGGGAACAAAAATT